AATAATAATAATAATAATGCCACTGAGCTATCCATCAGTTCTAATACAGAGAGAGAGAGAGAGAGAGAGAGAGAGAGAGAGTTGGTCTTCAGAAGGGCTTCTAGGGCCATAAGATGTTTTGGCCAGGGGGGCGGGGAGGGCTGCACAATTTCGAACCCTGCCCTACTTCCACCTTCTTGGCCCCACACTGGTCTCGGAAAGCATCCTTCCACTCCCCTGATCCCCCTGCATCTGGCCCTTAACTTGCGACATTTGGCCTGCAGTTCACCGGCGTTCCACCTTTCCATCCTCTTAGGCTTGTCCCCAAAATTGAGTGTAGTGCTTTCTCTCTCGATGGGTTTTGAAAGGGTGGGTTGGGTTTAATGTTTCTGTGCTTCTGGTCTAACTCAAAGAACTCCAAACCCCCTAGGGTGCCTGGATCCCAGACCCACCTGGGTAGATTCCACTCCTGGCGTCTTTTCCTTTGGCTCCTGGCACCTGGAAAATACACAGTCGATCTCTCAAAAGGCCTCCGCTTTCATCTTCTCCTCCCAGGTCTGCGGCATGTGTGGGAATTTTAACAACGAGAGCCTGGATGATCTTCTGATGCCCAATGGACATCTGGCCACCAACGCCAGCCAATTTGGGAACAGCTGGAAAGCCCCTGGTGATCAGGATCCTGGGTGAGAGTTTGGGGAGGAGTCGGGGCACAGAGAGTTGGTTCTCCAGATCAGCTGGGGCACAAGATCATCCCTAAAGAGGCCCCAGACCAGGGGCGCAACGTGGGCACAAAATTCTTAGGGGTGCAAGATTTCAAGAAGTAATAATCAGGAACGGAGACTCGCGACTCGCAAACAAGTCTGAGTGCCTAAGGGCCTTCCCCCACCATTGGCCTGCCTGCTGGGACCGCCGCTGCCGTCCTCTTCAAAGCCAGCGGGCCCCACCTCTGTTCCTGGAGCTGGACGGCTTCTTTCGCCCATACCTGTGCCCACCGGCTGATCGGCTGGCACGTGGCTAGGAACAGTGGGCCTGCCGGGCTTCCCTTCCAGAAGACAGCACAGTGGCAGGAGCAGGTTGAGGGGTCACGGATCGGGGTGGGGCTCAGGGGGGGTCAGGGGTCATACATGTGCTTGGGGGGTAAGGGGTTCAATACTGGAGTGGTGGAAGGGACTCAGGGAGTCCTAACGATCCACAGGTTAGGGGCCACAATTCTTACCTTGTCCTGATTTCTGCATGGAAAACAGAGGAGTCCAGATTTGTCAGCCAGACATTCCAGCATCTGTGATGAGAATTACACTTCTTGGCTCTCAGCAGGATATTGGCATTGTATTTAGCCTCTTCTCATTTTCCAGTTAGCGAAATAGCACAGTTTCTCTCTAGAGGAAGGAACTGGGTGACATGGATAACAAAAACATTAACTGGAGAGCACACGCTGACGGAGAAGGAGTGCTTGAATGACAGTTGATCTCCCTCAGCTCTGTGCCATTTGAGTCAACCATACAGAAAAGAAGCAAAACCATTGGACAGGAAGCTTTTAATTAAGGTTGCAGGAGGGCTCCGTTGTACAGGGCCCTTGTGACTAAACATAGCAGGATCTTGGCCATGCGGAAAGGCACTGTTAGGTGAAACTGCATTTTATTACAGTACGTGCCATGTGATGGTTGTAATTGTTATTCCAGTTTTAGGTGCTTGGGGAGAAGCAGTGCCTCACACCTCTGTTTGTGGAGAAGCAGTCTTTCCCCTGCTCCTAGGAAGTCTTGCTTACCAAGCTTTGCATAATGCGATATAATCTATGTTTTGTGTGATTCTTTTTATGGTTATGTTCTTTCTAGTCCAGAATACAATTGAATACTTTGCACCCCATTGTTGGTTCCCCCTCCCCCTCTTTCTGCCCCCCAGCTGCCAGCCAGATGACCGTGAGGACCTCGAGCCCCACTGCTCCTCCGAGGAGAAGGACCGCCTCCACGCCCTCTGCCGTGAGATCCTGCAGCCCAAGTACCAGGCGTGCCATAACATCATCAATCCACAACTTTTCATCCAGAACTGCCTCTATGACATGTGTGAATACCAGGGCATGGCCTCGGTGCTCTGTGACAACATTCAGTCCTACGTGGAAGCCTGCAAAAGCCAAGGCGTGACGGGCATCTCGTGGAGGAACAGCACCTTCTGTCGTAAGTTCTCTGCTGGGGATCGGTCGGGCCGAGAGGACAAGAAGGGGCGGAAAACCCAAGGGAGGAGAATTGTGGGTGGAGACAAAGATTTGGGGGCTTTTGTGGGACGTGGTGGTGCTGCGGGCTAGAACGCAGAAGCCTCTGTGCTGCAGGGTCAGAAGACCAGCAGTCGTAAGAT